GTGTTTGTGGGTGTCTCTCATTACCACCACCACCACCCCGAAACGGGGGGAGCTCCGGAACTCCCTTCCGTCCCGTGTCAGTCATCGCTGTCCGAAAGGGTCTCGTATTGGGCGGAGAGAAGGGGGGCCGGCTCCCGCTCCCATATCCGGCTGGGCTGGTGCGCGGCAGAGGCGGCCTGGCCGGCAGAGGGTCCCCCGCAGGCCATGGAGGTGGGGGGCGTGCTGCTCAGCATACGGATGGTCAGCGGGTTGTAGGGGAACTGCGTGGAACCTGGCAGGGGGGGAAAAAGGAAGGAGAAACAAGCTTAGAGGGATTTTTTTTTTTTTGGTGTGTTCCTCGAATTACGACCGTTCGCGCAGGGACCGTTTGAGCGGCATGGAGGGATGGGGATGGCGGGTAATTTGACTGAAAGTAACTAACTGAGCGACCGTTTGAGTAGGAGGGGATGATGGGGCTTGGGGTAATTCGGCCAAAGGGAGCTCTCGACTTACATTAACTCATTCAGCGACCGTTTGAAAAGGAGGGGATGATGGAGCTTGGGGTAATTTGGCCACAGAGAATCCTTGACTTACATTAACTCATTGAGCGACCGTTTGAATAGGAGGGGATGATGGGGTTTGGGGTAGTTCGGCCGCTGGGAGTGCTCGACTTACAATAACTCACTTAGTGGCCGTTTGAATAGGGGGTTCAAAGAGTGGTCTCGTGATACCCCTTCTGGCCAGCAAAGTCAACGGGGGAAGCCAGATTCACTTAACAACCATGTGCCTCATTTAACGAACGCAATGATTCACTAACAGCCGTGGCAAGAAAGGTCGTAAAACGGGGCAAAACTCACTCAGCCGACGTCTCCCTGAACAGCATAAATTTTGAGCTCAACGTTCGAACGTTTGGCGACTGTCTCGGATTTACGACGGTCGCAGCGTCCCGGGGGTGTGTTTGTGTCACACGATCCCCTTTTGCAATCTTCCGACAACCCAAGAGAAAGCTGGATTCATTTAACAGCCGCGGCCACTCATTTAACGACGGCGACAAGGCAGGTCGTAAAACGGGGGTGAAACTCGCTTAACCGCTTGTCTCCCTTAGCAGCAGGAATTTGGGGCTGAATTGGGGTCGTAAGTCGAGGGCTACCTGTGCTTTAAGGGTCGTGAAGATATTCTGGGAATATTCAGGTAATCATGCAATTAATTATCTTTCATAACAGGGGAGGTCATCAAAGATGGCCGCTTTAAGACTGGTGGACTTCAACTCCCAGCATTCTCCAGCCAGCAGAGCTGGCTGGAGAATGCTGGGAGTTGAAGTCCACCAGTCTTAAAGCGGCCATCTTTGATGACCTCTGAATAGGAGTGTCGTGAACACCTGGGCCGCCATTTTGGACTGCCTGTAATCACACTGGGACACACCTGGGCCACGTCGGCTGGGCTCACCTGTCGAAGAGGGCCGGTCCTCCCAGGACCAGGCGGGGGTCTGCCGGTGATAGTCTCCTTCCGAATGCACCGAGGAGACCGAGGAGGGGCGCTCCGTCCCCAGATAGCCCTGGCCAGGAAGTGGGGACTTGGACTTCCTGCTCCCGGATTTCCCCATCAGCTTCTGTTTGCTGAGGCCTCCACCTGGAAGGAGAGGAGGAGGAGGAGGAGGAGGAGGAAGAATGGAGTTATGGGGAGCACCAATAAGAATCAGAGGGTTCCACTGCTTAAAGCAGGCCGGCTGGGGGATTCTGGGAGTGGAAGTCCTCCCCTCTTAAAGCAGGCTGGC